TTTTATTATTATTTTTTATTACTGTTTGCCTTATTGCATTGCGTCAGTAAAATATTTGTTGTTTTTGTTACTTGTATTGCATTTGTGTTTAGAAAGAGACATAAAACCAAGTAAATAAAGAAATTCAACACATAAAAACATTGCTTGTATTTCTTTGAGATCATAAAAATGTACATGTGTGTATATGTATGTGTGTGCCGATGCAAGTACAACAACTTTTTGCTTGCTTGACAGCGCCGTGGGCAGAGGGGTGAGCCGAATAGCAAGGACAAACCTAAGCTTCGAATTTTTTTTAAAGATATGTCTTCAAGAGTTGTCTTACTGGAACCGAATTGTCTTGAATAAAAAAAAAACTTTAAACTTTTTATAAGAATTTAGACATAACCAAACTTTCTTAAGTCCGTCATCTTCACATCGCGCAGCTCACCCCTTTATCAACGAATACCGCGTCGTCAACAAGCAAAAGCGAACGCAACAATCATACAAAAAAATCTTTAAGATTACAACAACAACCAATTAATTACGCTCACAACCATCCGCGATACCAACACCGCTGCCCTCCACCACGCTGACACTCCCCGCCGCGGCGGCCGCCATAACCGCTGCGACATTCGCATGCCGCAACATCAAATCGCTCTCCGATGCCGCCTTACCGATGCTGCTCAAATTCAGCACCGACGCATTGTCGGACGCCGACGTTGCTGCATACTCTTGTGCGGACAATTTGAGAAACTGTTCATAAGCCGTTAGGCGCGAGCTCGACGCCGCTAGTGGCGGTTCGTCGCCGCTCAACGCCTCCATGCTGCTGGTAGCGCACGAGCTGGCGTGGAATACTTTGCTAGCCATTACAGCGGCGCTGCTGCTATACGGCGGTGGTGGCGGACGCTCGTTTAGCAAACTACTGCCGCTGCCGAGCGTGTGCGTGAGCGCCCCAATACCGCCGCGACTGCTGGATATGACGTCGGCGGCTGCTCCGCTGGCAGTGGCACTCATGCTGCTCAAGCTGCCGAGTCTTTGTAAATGTTGCTGCTGGTGCTGCTGTTGCTGTTGTTGCTGGTGATGGTGTTGTTGCGCATGCGCATGTGCTTGATGCTGTTGTTGTTGCATGTCGAGCGTCGCCAACGTCGAATGTGGATGTGCCACAATGTTGGTTGCGGCTGTAGCGCCGTACAGCTCTTCGTTTGATTGTCGATGATGATGTTGTTGTTGTAGAACAGTTGGTGTGGCTTCCAAAGCAGCGCTGCTCATTGGACTCGGCGATGTTGGCGATTGCTTGATGTGCGTAATGGCCGATGTGCCAACCGCTGAGACACTCAAATCGCTGCCGCCGCCACCGCCGCCCCCAATGCCAACACCGCTGCTGCTCACGTTCTGGCAATCGCTGAGACTGCCGAGATAACGTGCACTATTGTTGTTGTTGCTGCYGCTACTTGTGTTGTTGCTGTTGTTGATTGCGTTGCCGCCAACGTTGCCGCTGGTGCTATCGACATTGTCGTGCGTGTCCTTTGTTGTTGCCGCCGATGTGAGCGCCAAGCCGCGCACACTGGCGCCGCCTATTGAACCGTCGTCCATGGCCGCCGCTAAGGCGCCACCACTGCCGTGACGTTCGCCATCGCCACACTTGCTTACGCCTCCTACGCTTTCTCCTACACCGCCAATGCCGCTGCTACTACTACTATTGAATTCACTGTGTGTGGTTAGATTGGGCAGTTGCAGTTCATGCTATTCCTTTATCAATCGGTAGATGTGATGTGTGGCGCCGCTGTTCTGTTCCGCCACCTCGAACACGTACGCTATGCAGAGCAGGGTCTCTTGTGTGTCTCGCGCTTGCATCACCTGCATACAGGCAACGGAAAGCACGAGAGAGAAATGGAGAGCGCGCTTTAGATAAATTTCTTCACATTCAGAGTTCGTTGAATCTACTCACCTGCAGTATTGTAAAGTTCTCCAGAACACTGTTCATCATATATCGTTCGGGTAGGTCCTTCAATTTCTGTATGAAGTTGATCATATATTCGCACATCGGTGACCGATGTATGCGATATACGAAACGACCATTCTCCAAGCGTGAGTATTCCGTTTCCACTTTCTCAACCACCTGCTTGCCGAAAGAGCAGACTTTTGTCGAACAGACGAGCACAACATTTTCGTTACTCTCATATCTAAAGCGCACGTAAAAAGATCGCAGGGTTCAATAAAATTTCAAAAGCAATATATTTTGGTATACTTACTGACTCGTAACGCCATAAAAATCACCCGTCTCTCTGCCGGTATTCAAGTCTGCCCAACATTTTACCAAGTAGAAAGCGTTCTGTGGACCCTTTTCGTAGAGATCTTTGAGACCACCTGATTTCTCAGGGAATTTATCGGAGATTTGTCGGATGTCAACAGTCTGTGGAGAGAAAATGTTTTGTTTAATTGAGTATCATAACCCCTTAATTTCAGGACTTTGTATAGTGGAGAAGCATATTAGCAGCCCACAGCAGTTTAGAAGACACAGTTGAAAGTGAAAGTAATCTTAACTTATTTGTAATAGGCTTAACGCGTTTTTTGTACGGATTGATGATCTGTTGTATTGAAGTTTTAGGTACCACAATGGATCGGTCTTTTTAGCTGTCCATTTGAGACCCCTGTTAGGATCGACCTTTCAACCCAACCCTAACTTGACATCCATTTAAAATATTAACTCAGAAACTCTCTTGGAGTTTGGTCAGTCCAGCAGGAACTTTCAATTATAGTAACAGAATCAAAACTGCACTTTTGGGAGAAGGTTATATAAGCTCGAACCGAAAGTGTCCGCAATTAATATTTTCTCAAGAAGTGTCCGCTCGGTAGTGTTCTCCAAAATTATTTAGGAATGACGTCATTTTAAAAATCTGTTAGTACGTGTCTTGAAAAATGGGTACCAGGTCTCATTATACCGAGTTAAAAAAAATGGGCTCAGATGTACTGAAGGAAGGCACTTTTCACTATCTTGTACTTTGGATGACTACGGATAATACACCTAAACATAATTTAGTGACTGATAGATATCACTACGATAGCAGCTCAGTGATACAAGTCCAGAGCTTAAGAGCTCTGGGCGCAACAACCACTAAAAAATAGCAAGCTCCGTGGAATCACAGGGAACTGTCTAACTAATGAGCTGGCAAAGGCCTTATACTGGGTTGGAAATGGTTAGGATAACTCATGTCTACTTATGACTCAACACTTACGAATATGCCTAAGGTGAGCTTGTTGAGTGCTTGTCAACAAGCAGCACATCGTCAGAACCTTCTGTTACAGAAAGGTCTGTTCAAGAGTCACTCCAAGAGCTCTTTCACAGTAGTTCAAGGATGACGTCTCGACTGACATCACTTAACACAAACTAAACTTTACAAATATTTCTAAGCACTTACCTCAAGTAGCGGATCGGAGAAGGACGGTTTGCCGCCGAGTTGCACGAACAAATGCCGGTGATACTGCAAATAAGAGAAAAATCATATTTATATTTTTCAAAGTAATACGGCACGGCTTTGGACTCACGATTTCCTCTCTTTGTATCTCCATGAATGCTGAGAACTCGAGCAAGCGAAATTTGTGCGTCGCAATCGCTCTGCCCTCCCACGGCAGTTGTGCGGGCGGAAGACCTGCTTCGATGTCACCAGACACAGCTGTCGATGGTTTGCCGGCGGGATAGGGGGGTTGTGCGAATGGCTTAATGCTGTAATCGTAAAAACTGCGGTCAATGCAAACAATTTCAATGTCTCAGCTACAAAAATTTATTCAAGATAACTTACTCTTGTGAGGTGCTGGGCTGCAAACCGGGCTGCCAGAATTGCTGTGGGCGCAACAGAAGAAGTAGAAAGGAGAGAAAAATTGCATGTGAGTATATATTTTATTCGATTACTAATAAATATATGTATGTAGATATGCATGTATATAGGTACAACGGTAGATTATGTACAATACTTAAATTGAAATGAAAATACATATGAACAAAATGAGCCAGCGAAAAGCAAGGTTTATATGAAGAGCCAACAAAATTTAGGGTTATGCGTTTGTGATGAGAGAGAGAGAGCACTTAGCTTGTTGTTGTTGCTTATTGGTTTTAGCATTTGAGAGAGTAAAAGTACACATAATATAAATCACAATTGCTGATTACATGGAGATGATTACGCGATTTCGCTGTATGTACAGTAACAGGCATTTTGGCGACCCCCAACCAATTTGAAGAATTCTTTTTTGTCGACTTTTAAACATTTTACTTTTTTCTCAATTATTTTGCACTTTTCGGCTGCCGGCACTGCTGATGAGATGAAGCGTATGATGATTTGCATTAGCATATGGGCCGCCAGGGGGGCTACGAGTCGAAATGCGTATGATATATGCACCATAACCTAAAAACATACAAATGAGTGATGGCTTTGTGCCTAATGGAGTTACCAACGGGTCTTTATGCGCGCATACATATGCAAAAAAATACATCTACACACACACACACATACACATATATATATATGGGTATATAGGGTTATGAAGCGCACAACGTGTATGATTTATTTACAACGCAACGAGTAGCGAGTTAGCGGTACATTATAGCGATGCCTATTATTTGCTATGCTTCCAGTTTTGGTTTTTTTTTTTTTACAGAGATGAGCATAAAATGTAGCCGAGTTCGTTAGAAGAGCTTGGCATTTACACATGTACTATGAAGATATGAAGTGTCTTACGCCCGGATACATCGGTGGATGATGGAGTGGCGTGTGCGCATGCGTATGTGCGGCGTGTGGCACACCCGTCACCGTTGCTGGCGTTGTCGCTGTCGTCGTCGTCGCCGCCGCTGTTCCTGCCGTACTATGATGCACCTGTGCCGCGGCTGCTGCCGCCACCACCGCCGCATGTTGTTGCTGCAAATAGAGGGTGCCCGCTGAGGTGACCTGCGGTAAATGCGGATGCGTGGGCAGATGTGCGCTAGTGCTGTGCGGATGCGGGTGTTGCGGGTGGTGGTGCGCATGGTGCTGGTGGTGGTGGTGGTGGTGGTGGCTATGGTGGTGTTGGCTAAGATGGTTGAGGTGGTGATGCTGATGGAGGTGATGTGTGTGTGTATGCGGCGAATGTAGGTGTGTGTACGCATGCGCCGCCGCTACAGCTGCAGCAGCTGCTGTTGCCGATGAGGACGCAGAGGTTGCTGATGTGGCTGCAGGCGCAGGCAGTGCTGGGGAGAGTGGTGGCGCTGCGCCGTGCGTTGGCTGATGCAAGCCAGCTGCGTTGAAGGCCGCCGCCGAAGCGGCATATGCGAGATTTTTCGCCGCTTGCGCCGATACGATTTGTGAGCTGGTCATGCCGCTCATAGCCTGCAGTGCTTTCTCCTTTTCGCTGAGCAAGTGTAGCGAATGGGCGTGGCCGTTTATGCCGCCAATGCCGTTGGGTTCCTGAAAAATATTCAAAAATGGAAGGAGAAAGAAAGGTGGTGCTCGATGAGGCGTGTGTTGGGCAAATGCATTGAAAAATTGCTTGTATACATAGGTATTGTGTAACGCAGTGGCTAAGATCTTACGGGGTCGCTGAATATACTGAAATCGAATTCGCAAAACTTATTGACTTGGCGTTGATGACGAGAGTGATGAGTTCGTTGATGAGTTTGAGATGAATGATGACTTTCGATGATAGTTGTACGACCGTGCTTTAATAAATGAAAGTCTCAGTATTCTATAGCCTTTACTGTTAAAAAAAATCTTGCCTTTTCTTTAATAAATTCACTTTTACACTTTTTGTGTCCTTGCCGCGAGCTACTTTGAATGTGTGCATGGCATGCGTGCCACAACAAACAGCGCCTAGCTTACCTCCACCGTCGGGCATCTCTTTGTGGTTGCTAGTAGCACAGAAGCTAATAAATAATAGAGAAAAATAAAAGCAACCGCATACATCTTTGTATGCACATCCCTGCATTCTTGCTTTCATCCTTGCACTCAACGACAATGAGCGAGGGGACACACAAGCACGCAGCATCTAAGCCCATGCTATGCCACTACAAAGTGACCCAGAAAACGTTGAGGAATTTCGTATGACAAAAAATGGAGAAAAAGAATTAAAGGGATCACATAAAACGCATTTCCACATATTGCAGCGCTAGTCAAGCAAAAGCGTCAAGAAAGAATATAATATACTTGCGTCAGTGTCCTTCATTGTATAATAAAGCAAAATAGTTGTGGGTTGACAAAGGATTCTTTCGGGGAAGTTTAAAAAATATACTTAAATAAAAAATCCTTCAAAGGGATTTTAAAAATGAAAAGCAGTAAGGAATATTCTTCAATTGCCTTATTCTTCTTTGTATTTAGTATTTGAAACCAAGACTGGCCGCTTTGCATCAAGGTAAAAATTACTTTTATCAGTTGGATGATTGAAAAAGATGATTTAAACCCTAATAAATATTGCTGACAGGTTCTACTAGACCCCAAAGATTAGTCGGATGATTGAAAAAGCTGATTTAAATCCTGATAAAAATGTTATCTAGATATTTCTCTAGCCCTTAGATGATTGAGAAAGCTGATAAATATTGCTGACAGGTTCTACTAGACCCCAAAGATTAGTCGGATGATTGAAAAGGCTGATTTAAATCCTGATAAAAATGTTATCTAGATATTTCTCTAGCCCTTAGATGACTGAGAAAGCTGATAAAGATTACTGACATATTCCAATAAGCCTCAAAGATTAGTCGGATGATTGAAAAAGCTGATTTAAATCCTGATAAAGGTTATCTACAGATACCTCTTGCCGTTAGATGACTGAGAAAGCTAATAAAGATTGCTGACACGTTCTACTAGGTCTTAAAGATCAGTCGGCTGACTGAGAAAGCAGATTCAAATACTGGTAGACATGTCTCACTAGACCCTAAAATTCAGTCGGGTAACAGCAAAATCTCACTCAAAGACACTTCAATAGTTGCTGACATCTTGTGATTTTTTAACGACAAATAAAGATGTAACATATAATATGGACCGAACTCATTTCTCTTCAAAATGTGTTCCATGATAAGCGTAGGTGCTTCAGATTAACTGTGACCAGTGTGGAATCAGAGCTGTCCATTTTGGGCCTTCGACCGACCTTAACGGATGCTTCAACAATAGATCTAACAAGAATGATAAAACAACATGACAGCTACTAATCACGAACACTTTTGGGCTTTTAGTTGATTGGTTCAGGAGGATCAATCATAGAGTTTCAAAACTGTCTATAAGGCTCGAAAAATATCAATCATAGAGTTTCAAAACTGTCTATAAGACTGGGAACGAGCGATGAACCAAGAATTGTTTCATAATTTAAAGGAAATAAAATCGTTTTTAAGCCATCCAAAATAATGAAATGATCGATAAGGGTTCATCATGATCGCTTTTTGGCTTTTAATTGTTCGGCTCTGGAAGATCAATCATGGAGTTTCAAAATAGTCTTTAAGACCGATGCAAGCCATCAACCAAAAATTGTTTCACGATTTAAAGTGAAGAAAATTATGCAGAATAATGAAGTGATCGATAAGAGCTCATAAAGTCGTGATTTGGCATACGGCATTTCCTCTTTGTTTCAAGATAAATCACGAAGTTTCAAAACTATATCCATATAAGAACGGAACAAGTGATGGATTGAGGATTATTACGCAATTTAGCGGAAACAAAATCATTTTTAACCATCCAAAGCTTTAAAGTATTCGTTCCAGCGCCATACAATTGTGGCTAGGTATACATTGACTTTAGTTGAGTTCCATAGGTCAAAAATAAAACGCGATGTCAACATTTTTCGTCAACTGAAGAAACTTTTAAATCATAGATTTTGAGGAATTTGTATACGGATGTTTTAAAACTGGATTTTAATATTATTAACTATCAGTTAAACTCCCAGGTAACCTATAGTGAACTTATAACATAAAATTATCATAAAAGCTTGTAACCTGAGCTTTTTTAAGTCTGAAAAAGTGTTATAATTATTGCATAACGCAAACCTAACTATTACAATTCCGGCAAGCTCAATAAACCCGTATATTTTTCTGCTTCCGGCTCAGTATGCAATTGCGCATAATTCGACATAAATTTACTCATGAAGAAGTATTTTGCATGAAGTGTTTCGAATAAAAATTTTAACCAACGAAAAATCGGCTTTTCACCTTTATAATATTTATAGAAAAGCGTATATATTATAGGTGCTCTTTGACGCTTATTCTATTTCTCTTACACTCGGTCGCTTGTGCGCTCGCTTCTTCCACTTGACTGTCACACAAAACGAGCGGCCAGGCGATTCTTCGGTCACTTTAACCCACTTTTGAGATCCTTTTAGTTTCACAAAGCCTTTACAACTGGACCATTAAACACCGTTTTGCGAAAGGTAAGCAGCGTAGAGTAAGAACTATACTACATTTTGCTGATGGCAGAGGAAGAAGCAGAGGCAGCAAACGGTGGCGGCCTTTACAACATTTCACTTTGTGTGCGCCAGTTTTTGTTTGTAGCATTTTGAGTGTAAAAGTAGATTTTATTTGTTAAGTACAATTTTCATTATAAAATACATAAGTATTTGTTGCTTATGTTGTTTTTGTTGTGCTATTTGTTGTTTGTTTACTATTTGCACGCCATCATTATAAATGCAAAAGTTGTTGAAAAAATTCCAACTTTGAGCCTTTTGCCTCACGGCTTTTGTTTCAGCACAGCAAAAAGGCATTTTCACATTACAGTTATTTTGAAAAAGTCATTTTGCCATATGCGCTTTGCTTCCTCTTCCTCATCCACCGGCACTTGTTTTCTATGTTCGTGCATTTTCTCTTTCTTGACTTTTGTTGCCACACAGTCGGACAAATGTAGTTGCCGTTTGCTTTTGTTTTTGTCATTTTGCTTGCTCGCTTTTGATGCTTTGACCTTTTGACACAATGTGTGGGCCATAAAATACCAAAGGAATAAGGCGAAAAACAAGCGCACAGTGGAAGAAAACAAAGCACAAAGGCAAAATGGAAAAGCCGTAAAGAGTTAAAGTGTACAATGCGGCTGGCCGAGCTTAATGCAGATGTCAGCGTGGTGGGCGTGGCATGAGAGGTAGAGTTGCTGCCCAAAAGCACCGTTATAGTGTCAGTTTGAGGTTAAGCAGTGAGAAAATATATAAACAGTTGGTATTTATAAGAATGTCCCCACTGCAACCGAGGAGTTGACTTGAGAGAGCGGCGTTATTATAAAATATTAATATTAAATAAAAAAAAAACTGGCAACAGCATTGAAAAACAGTAAAAAATAAGAAATATAAAAATGTTAAAAAATATGGCAACTCCCATCGGCATACGAAGAGCGCTGATGCAATAAAACACCGTCTTAAAGAGAAAAATTAAAAGTATAAAAAAATAAAGGAAGAGTATGGCAACTCTCATCGGTATACGACGAGGTCGAGGCATTACAAAACCGGTTAAAGTAAAAAATTAAAAACATAAAAAAGTAAATAAAATATATGGCAACTCCCATCGGTATACGAAGAGATGTGATGTATTAAAATACCACTTTAAAATAAAAAATTAAATATATA